AATAATATTATAAATAAATTCAATGCAATATCATAAATAAACTGTGTAAAGATTTGAAAAAGCTCATGCAATTATTATATTTATTAAAATTATATAATTAATACAACATATAGTTTTTTTTTTATTATGATTAAATATATTACTTCAATTTACTCAATAGTTACTTATGATATCTGAGCAGTTTGCAAGTTATAGGTACGAAAAAATAAATACTTGATTTAACTAGTTTTATTTTGATTTTGGAAGACACCAAATGGGTTTATCATAATTTGATTATATAATTTTTGCTACAACCTTTAAACTGTCCAGTCATCATGATCAATGTCATAAATTTAAATTATCAACAAGGCTAGATAAATAATCATTCTACATTATATATATATATATATATAATATATATATATATATATATACAATATTATGAATCTTTTTCAATTACCACCACTCTCAAAAAAATTAGAATCAAACATTCCCGATGGTCAAAAAACATGTATTAGTATTTGAAATAGAGATATACACAGTACACACGAAATGTTTTGTGAGGTCTTAGAAAAGTCTTGAAATAATTAGTTGAGGTTTAAACACAAAAGACACAACGTGGCGGAATCAGTATTTATAAAGAAATAAAAATCTTGTTGTAAGTGATTGATAAACTCGATATTTACTTGTAGTTATGTAATTGATGAGATTAAATTGTAATGTGAATTGTGAACAAATAATAAAAATATTAAGTACAGATTAATTCAGTTACAAAAAGTGTCTAGTTGGTATAAAGTACAATTTTGAATTTGTTTATATTTAGTGTTAATTTAATTTAAAATTCATATCCTAAACTAAAATCAAAATGTTAATATTTATTAAATACTGTGCTTCCTAAATAAATAAATATTATAAATAATGTTATTATTAAATAAAGAAATTTCTTTGAAGAAAAAAACAAAGTCACATGTTAACGTTATAATTAAAAATATTTACACAACATTTTGTATTGTGACAAAAAAATTAGTTAATAATTTGTTATTTATATAAAATTAATTAATTAATCATTATTATGGGAGCAAAGAAATTTGAAAACATCCATATTAAGGTCCACCCTAATATATGTACTAATTGTAAATAAACAAAATAGTTAGAAATGCATGTTAACAGTTTAATAAACAAAATTGTTTAACTATATTTATACAAATTAATAATTATAATTATTAATTTGTATAAATATAGTTGATATGTAAACAATTTTGTTTATTAATAAACAAAATTGATTACATATTAACTATATTTTATTAATAAGCAAAATTGATTACATATTAACTATATATATACAAATTAATAATTATAATTATTAATTTGTATAAATATAATTAATTATGTAAACATTTATTTTTATTAAACCGTTAACATGCATTTCTAACTATTTAGTTTACTTAGTAAATATATTTTAGGGTGGTCCTTAATATGGATGTTTTCGAATTTCCTTGCTCCCAGGAACTCAAAAGCTTCCAAATTGATAAAAAATCTCTGAAAGTTTAAGTTTTTAATATTAACTTTAAAATAATCCGCACTTCAACTAAAATTTTTGGCTTTTTGGTAAATACTTATTATATAAAATACATCAAATTTTTGTTGTAATTTTTTTATTTATGATCAAACTAATCAAATACAATGTTATTATCAAAATTTTGATTCACTAAGTTATAAAATTCTGAAAAACAAATGGAATTTTACTTATGTTATTTATTTCCATTAAATACTTTGGTTGGAGAGGAGTTAAAACTTTCAGAGATATTTTTTTATCAATTTGGGAGCATTGGAGGCCCTGGGAGCAAATAAAACCGAAAATATTTATATTAAGGACCACCCTAATATATACATGTTATAATTATTAACTAGGTTTTTTGTTCTTTTTCTAAGACTTTTTTATTTTCGCAACATTTAGCATAACAATTGAATAAATCAATTATTCAATTCAATTTATTAATATATTTATAATATTTTTATATGATTTACCATAAAATAATATAAAAATTTACTGAATCTTTAATTGAAATCAAATTCAAAGAAAAAAACAGTTAAAGTCATTTCAACGATTACTTTGCAGATTTTTTTGTCATAAAATGTAATGTATTCTGAACGCTTTTGTATATTCAAGAATTTAAAAGGTTTAAATGTACTGATAATTTGAATTAAAATCTTAATTATATTATTATTAAAATTAATTAAAATAAATTTATTCTGTTCTACAAATGCAGTTATTTTTATATATATTTTAATTATTTATTATAGAAATCTGTTTCAAAATAATAATAAATAAATAACGAATATGTTCCCAAATAGGAGCTGCGCTTATTGATGCGGAAGTAAATTTTGAATCACAAAACGACGGTTTAGAAATTTAAATTTAAATATGGCTTATGTTCAAAATTATTATTAAAATACTTTTAATAATAAGACAGTGGTTTTCAAACTAATATATCGACACTAATGACTAGCCAAGTTACCTAAAATTTCTTTTAATTATTTAACTTCTTCCACTTAATTGCCATTTTTTTCAGATCCAGCAAGATGTTGCGTTATTTCTTGGCAGTAGCAGCAATATCACTATTATCGACTCAGTATGGAGAGTGTGCTAAAATTTTAGGTATGAAATTAGTAACAACATCCCAATAAGGAGTAATTAATATACCATTTTATCAAATTTAAGATAAATTTACCTTCTTGATGCTTACCAAAAGTTCCATGAGGTTTATAAATTCTTCCTGGCCTTCTTCCAGGATCATGATCACTTCCACAAAACTATATCATTTCATCAGAATAAATTAAAAATTTTTCTAGGTATTTTTCCATTAAATGGTCACAGTCACTGGACTCCAAACAAGGCTCTATTGGAAGCTTTAGCAAATCGTGGACATGAAGTCACTGTCGTTGGTCATTTTCCAAGAAAAACTCCTTTGCCAAAGTAAGACCTGCATATAAGAGATAACTATTAATAAAAAAACTTGATAAAAAATATAACATCTACATAAATTGTTATTGAAGTATTTAACAATATAAATTATAACTGAACATTATTGAAATATTTAATAAATTAAGAAATTTATTTTATTAATTTTGCTATGTATTTATTTCAGTTACAAAGATATTAGTTTGGCAGGAACCTTACCAGACTTCGTAAACAATGTAAGTTACTCCTTCGTCACTCAAATGGGGTTCATGGGTGGAGCCCTGGTTATATGGACTATGGCAGGAGCTGAACTGTGCAAAAATCTATTGCACACACCACAGGTAAGAAAATTATGCATTTCGATCTCTCAGTATATTTTATCCGTTTGAAAACTGGATAATTTCTTTTATTGTAGTTCCAAGAATTAGCTAAATCCAATGAAAAGTATGATTTGATCATAACAGAAACTTTTGGTACCGATTGCTTTTTGAGTTTTGTTGACAAGTTCAAAACTCCTTGGATTTCCATGTCGTGTGCAACTCCTTTCGACTGGATGGCAGAACAGATTGATATGCCAATATTGCCAAGGTAAAATTTTATCCTGGTATACATCCAAATATGTGTTCATGTTATTTATTCCTGTAGTACTTCTCCTTTGATGTTGACATCATATCCTGATAAAATGGACTTTTGGGAACGCACTGGTAACTTCTTGATGCACATTGGAATTTTCTTCGGGTACGACCAACTACAAAAATAGACGCAAGTTAGTTTTTACTATAAAAATTTTAATTCCATTTCAGGTATCATTACGTATCAAGAATTCCCTCACAACGTGTGGCACGAGAAGTGTTGCCACAAACTCCTGATTTGTATGATTTGAGCCGAAGTGCTAGTTTACTTTTATCCAACAGTCATTTCAGTTTAACAGGGTCCAGACCAGGAGTTCCTGCACACGTCGAAGTCGGTGGAATTCACATTACTCCAGAACCAAGTCCTTTGCCAAAGGTAACAGATCACTACTTAAAATAGACCGAATGGTTAATATCCAAATTGATTCAACAGGATATCCAAAAACTCCTTGATGATGCTAAGCAAGGTGTGATATACTTCAGTTTTGGATCAATGATTCAATCCGAGACTATTCCTAGACAATCTTTAGAAGCCATGCTCGCTGCATTTGCCAAGTAACAATATGAAATCATTTATGAAGTCTAAAAGCATAAACTGAAAATTTTATATAATTTTTTTAGAAAACCTCATTTGGTTTTATGGAAAGCAAACCCTAAAAACTTCCCACCAGGTTTAGTTTTGCCTAAAAACGTGGTAACACAAAAATGGTTACCGCAGAGAGATATTCTTGCTCATCCAAATGTTAAGGTAAGACCACAAATTGAATTTGTGGATATATAATATTCGTCAAGTGGTACCAAAATTTTATATCACCTGTGACTACATTTCCATTTTCCAGGTGTTTGTAACTCATGGCGGTCTCTTGGGCACAATGGAAGGAGTTTACTGTGGAATTCCAATGATTGGAGTCCCAATGTTTGGTGATCAATTATCAAATATCAAAAATTACGTTCGAAGAGGCATCGCACTCATGGTGAACGTGCAAGAAATTGAAGAAAAGTTTGAAAAATCCCTAAATGAAGTTTTGACTGACAAAAAATTCAAGGAAACTGCTCTCAAGTAAAATAACTATCTGTTTCATCAGGATATTAAAGAATTAATGTTGACTGATATGTTTTTTACCTTCCAGAGTATCAAAACAATTCAAAGACCGTCCGGCGCCACCCTTAGATACTGCAGTTTTCTGGACAGAGTACGTTTTGCGTCATCAAGGCGCTCCACAACTGCGGACACCTGGTAAATTCCTAAAATGGTACCAAATCTGGTTGTTTGATGTTATCGGATTTGTGGGAGCTGTGGTTCTAGGCATTCTGTTTGTCCTGTATTTTACCTGTAAAATGGCATTCAGGTAAATAAAATATAATAATAGATTGATGATAATTGTTGCTAATATAATTAAGTGGTTTGTTTGTTACTTTACATTTCCTTCTAGGTCGTGCATGAAATCGACGCCAAAAGACATTCGTAAAAAAAAGAATTAGTATTAAAACATGATTTAAGATCAAAAATTATTGACAGGAATATTACCAAAGATCCAAGCACTTATTCAGAATACTGGAGATTCTTTATAAGTTGAACTGATTTTGGAGAGAAATAAATTTTGTATTTTCTTGTTTTGTAAAAGTATAAAATAAATTTTTATTGAAAAACCTAATATTTTTTGGACCCAATTAATAATTACTCTTATTACAATATTTTAACAAAATGGACGTTTTTATATGGGCATGTATATACAATATATATATATATATATATATATATATATATATATATATGTGTGTATGTATGTATATATATATAGCAACATATCCCTTCCCTCTGCAAGGTTTTATCTATTTTATTTTCACATAACTACTATCATAACTTATCATTATTTACAAAATGATAAATAAAGTATGCAATGCTTTATATTATTTCATAAGCTTACAGCAAAAATATTAAATTATAAAACTTGCATTTAAATTAATTTCTTATTTATATTAAATATATATAAACAGAAAAAAATCAGATGATTGGTACTCAGATAAAAACCAAAAAGATTTTTAAGTAGAATTCCATGCAGACAATACAGAGCAAACAAAACTATATTTCCAAAAAATACTTTACCTTACATTTCTAGTCCGAGTTTGACCCTTCAGAAAATATGCATGGTTTTGATAAACCGCTTTTTGTTGCCCTTTAAAATAGGATTTCAGGTAATACAGCCTACTTTTCTTCTTTAAATAGTCAACTTTTCACTTTTACGTGAAACTTTGGGAAAGTTCAGCTGACCCTGTAATGCGCCATTGTCCCTTATTAAAATACCCCTGATTCGTCCCTGAAAATACAAAATCATTCATCTGGCGTCTTTCAGACTCGGTCATTCTCGCAAATGTTCGCACATATGCGAATGAGAGATAAATTCGATTGCGAATTATAATATATACCCAATATATATATATATATATATATATATATATATATATATATATATATATATATGTATGTAATATATACATACATTCAGGCGTTCATTCATTTATGCAAAGTTAGATAGCTTAATTAATTAAAGAATAGCTAAATTAATTCGAATCTTGATTCGACTCATCTTCAGTAAAATTAAATACAAATGGAATTTTACTATTATTAATAGTTGTTGTTGTTATTATTAACTTTAATACTCTATGTATAGTACTAATTATTAATAGTATATATAAATACAAAATTAATTACTATTAATATTTCCACAGAATTGTTTCTTTTGGATGCTATTGTCTAATTCAATTTTTTAATAATAATATTTTGATTAGTAACATTATATTAAAATGCCGAATGCACAAGATTTATACTTGTATTTATATTTATTAAATTAGTAAGACTCATTTGAAAATTTAAATGGCAATTGTCTAAAGAGATAAAAATCATGTCGCAGTCAAAAATTTTTGGCCCACGCACATATAACTTTCACTATTTATAAACTACGCGTACACTTTCATTTGTTGATTTTTTGTATACATCTATATATTATGAAACAACACATGAATTTACATTTGTAATTTATACATGGACCTAGTTTTTAAACAATAAAAAATTGATTACTTAAAATTCAATTATATCACCATTTATTTGTGAATTTGTCTGTGTTATCTTTTGTAAGAATTTGTAAAAAGTTATTAAATTTTTTGTGAAAATTAAATGAAAAAAATGTTTTTTATTATTATAATATTCTACAGATACTTGGTATACTTTATTTACACAATTGAAAATGAACTTGCCATGAAGTAATCAAACGCACTTTTAAATTATATAATAACTCTGAATGAGCCTTTTTAAAATAAACTAGTCGGATGTATGACATCATGCTTTAAGGCAAATTGCTGGAACTTCCCGTACCGTAACGAAATGTTCGAAGAATACTGAATGTTTTCAAATAGATTATTATAAATATTGTAACATTGTGTAATATTTATAAGTATTATATAAACTGAATTGCAAAGTTGAAATTATTTGTTTAAAGTATATTAGAACTATAGTCAGAATTCAAAATAAAATCTGAATTGTTTTCGATATACAATTTTTTTTTCTTTTTTAAAAAAAAATTAAAAAAAAAGTTGAAACAACAATTTTTTTTTCTAAAATCAATTATTTTGGTAAGACAAGCAGAAATGCCATTTTTTGCACATTTAGCTCCGTATCTTCAAAATGGCTGAGCCTGCCTATGCCGAAAACTAATCAGCACATCTCCCTATCAATAGGAATCGAATGTTTTTTGAACCATTTGAATCGGTTGATTCGTGCCCCCGAAAACGTGACCGAAAAATTGTATCCATACATACAGACACACACACACACATCTATTTTTTCTGAGGTATGCCAAAATGTTCAGAAATCTTCAAAACGTCGAGAAATGCAAAAATTTTCAATTTCGATTTTTGGTCGATTACAATAACTTACCCTACGGGAAGTTAATAAATAATTTGAAAATTTGTGCAAAATCAATAACGAATAAAATTGTTTAGCATTTTAATATCAAATAGAAACTCAATAATCTTGGCAATTGAAAAACAGACTTTTAGTGAGTTCTCTCATACATAGTATTTGCCAATTATTTGTGCATTTATTTCTAATAATAAATGATATATATATATATATATATATATATATATATATATACAGGGCCGGTCCTACCTTGAATGCAATGCATGCAAAAATGCAGGCGCACGCCTTAGGGGGCGCCAAAACGAGGTTCGGAAATAATATATTATTTATATATTTTTTTAATATAAATTCCAGATTACTTAATAGATTATAATAAACAATCCAACTTAACTATGAGACACAAAAAGCATATTCAGTTCGCAATGTACTATCAATAGAAACAATTAACCAAATAATAACTCTGCAAATTTGTAAATTAATGTTCTGCTTATTGTTTAATGTACTTATTATTTTTTTTCTTCGCTTTAACTTAACGTGGAATCGAAAAAGAAATAATTTAGTGTTCAATCCCGTAAGAGCAAACCTACGAAAGTTTCAATTAATTATTGCGCGTTATTGGTGAAAAATGGCAAGCTGACTTAGTTGAAATGGAACTTTAATAAAGAAACATATACTAATTATACTAAAGAAAATGGAAAATGGGGAATCAGTGTTTAGAAAATGGCATGTTTATTCCGCAAATTCGAATTGTAATTTTTGTTTTTGTTGCAAATGTTTCACATCTGATGAACTTTGAACGTTGAAGACATGCGTGGTTAGGGTTATGGAGCAAATATGAAAAATGGAAGCAAAATGTACTTAGGAACAAAAATCTTTAAGCTTTTTCTATACAAAATTTAATTATTAACTATGAAGAAATAATACAGATACAATTATAATTTGTTTGTTCCCGTATAGTTAAGGGAATAAAGTAATTTCTTTGCATCTTTTACTAATCTTTGGGCAATACTTTAAAAAATAATTTAAAAGTTTAACTTTAAAACAACAATCTGGTACTCTGTATCTGATGGGAAAATAAAGCTGAATACAATGATATGATACAATGATATGACCTTATGGATGATATGATACCAATAAGGAGAAGTTTACGATTCAATTTTGGATATTGTATTTATTTTAATTAATTTTAATATTTTAATTTAATTTAAATTAGAACATGAAATACGAGTGTTATGTTTAAAAATCAAATACTAGTTTTTTTTTGCTCTTTTGTCGTGATTTGTTCTATAGAATAAATCGCATAAAAATGTTTCAAAACCTAAATATTAATATTATACATACGTTAGAAATAATTGAGAATTTAAAAAAATTGATTATGATCAACCCGCGAGTCTCCTCGATTTTCTAAAAATTAAATCGATGTATTGTATACGCTTTTAGATTTTATCTATTTTTTGTGTACTAAATCCAGAATGACTAAAAATTAATTTAAAAAAATTAACGTAAAATATAAAAAATATAACGAAAAACTGTTAAAACAGTTAAAATTATTGGGGGGGGGGCGCTAAAACAAATCTTGCATGCGGGCGCTGAGAACCTCAGGACCGGCTCTGTATATATATATATATATATATATATATATATATATATATATGTGTGTGTGTGTGTAATATCTTAAGCAGTTATATAATTGAACACTTTCTCATTTCTTCCAACATCTCTCATCTAGATACGATTCTGTACTACTAATATTTATTCATTCAAAGATATCGATTGCAAATAATCTTTGTTGATATCAATATTTAATCAATAAATAAAACAAAGTATAATATATGATAGAAATAATTACAAATAAAGAAGCAGCCTCGTTATGTTCCCAATCAAACAAAAATATTCCTCAAATTCTGAAAAAACACTTTCCATTTTCATTACTATTTATGAGCAGATTTTGTTGTATATTATTTTTATGCTAGACAATGTTGTAGATTATTTAATTTTGTAGTCAAATTGATCAATTATATTAGACTAAATGATTCATATATACTATGAATAACACAAAAAGTTCAATACGTACAGAAATTCTTATCAAAATTACAATAATATTCTGAAAAGAGTACTTTACAACAATCTGACTAATTTTAGACGTAGTTAATTACTCATGTTTACTTTGAGGCGTTCGCGGTTTTCAAAGAAATTTTCTTATTTTATATGTATATGTATATATATATATATATATACACATTTTTCTATAATAGCTTTACATTGTGATTATTTCTTTGTAGATTTATAACGGACAAAAACACACACATACAATTGAGAAAAAAACATGAACGTCATCGCAACAACCTGACAATAGGAAACAACATTTCCAGTAACTATTATATATGCATGTATAGTTATATATACGGACATATATGTATATATATATATATAGAATTGTGTGTATAAATGCATGCTTTGTCCACGCACACATATTTTAACAAAGATAACAGTGCTCGCCGAAAAAAATTTTCTGTTTATGAAAGAGTACTAAAAAATTAATAATTAAAAAAAGTTATATATAATTTTATATATAAAATGTATATACAAAATCTTTAAATTCATTACACACCCATAAAAACTAAACTATATACAAAAAAAGAAGGGCGGGGTAAATAAAGTTG